AAAAAAAAAAAAAAAAGAGAAAGTGGCCCTCATCCCGAGTCCTAAAGGACAAGTTAAGTAGAGGAAGGGGGTCTCTCTGAGAGGAGACCACATGATGAGCACAACAGAGGGGTGAGATTGGAGAACTCAAATAAGTTGATAACACTAGAGTGGAAGGAGTTTGTTGGGACCAGGCAGGAGGTGACCTTGGCACATATACCCACATAAGGACCTTTGTACCATGCTGAGGCCCAAGTGTGTGTATCTATCTTTTCTCCTCAGTGAGGTGCTTGGGGACAGGTGCTCTGTAGCATCTATACAGTAAGTGGCTTGGTAAAATATGGGACTTGTATGCTGTCCAGGCTCCTTTTGGAAAGTAAAGCAAACCAGCTCAAGTGTAATAAAGGGGAAGGCGTGTCATAAGCACAGATAACGTTCTCCCAGAAGTCTGGGGAGGTCACACTTAGTCAATGAGGTGGTAGCATCACCAACAAAACCACTTTCCTCTCCCACCTGATCTCTGCTCCATTCCCTTTCTCCCTACTGGCTTTCTTTGCATTTGCTCATTGTCTTTCCTTCACGGCTTTTCTCATATGGGTCCCATAGGATTGCCCCAGCTCCGGAATCTGTGTGATCTTTGATCTCCTAGATGAAAAGCTGAGGAAGGAATTGGCTCATACTTTTGAACAAGACCGTGAGGCATTGGTTATTGGCCAGGCTGGGCTGCCCTTTGTTCAAGTGCCCTTTATAATCATGTCTTGGCCAGGGTGGGGATGGGGACGTTCCTGGCGTGGTGCGACGCACCTGAATATATCCCACAGCTAGGACTGTGAAATGGGCAGAAGGTGCACCTCAACGCATGGTTAGTTTGTGCATTCTAATATTTATTGAGTGTTTTTTATGTGCGAGGCACTTTTTGTGGGCCAAAAAGAAGCAAAATGCTTTGCAATATGTTTCTGTAGGTATGCAAGGTAATATCTGTGTTATCATTTGAGCATTTCTAGTTCCTTTCTTGAGAATTACCCAGTTCCATTTGACGAGATAGTCGCTAGGGCCAGAGGTGATTTTGAAGAAGATCCATGATAAGCTAATGGTCCAGCTGTGTACCAAATGGCATTCTTATTATCTTTGTGAATTCACCTTCTTATTATCTTTTTGTCTCAATGCAGTGAAGTTTTTTTTTTAATTTTTTTTAATGCTTTTTGTTTATTTTTGAGAGAGAGAGCAAGCAGGTGAGGGGCAGAGAGAGAGAGAAGGAGAAACAGAGTCTGAAGCAGGCTCCAGGCTCTGAGCTGTCAGCACAGAGCCCAACGCAGAGCTTGAACTCACAAACTGGGAGATCATGACCTGAGCAGAAGTCGGACACTTAACCAACTGAGCCACCCCGGTGCCCCATGTGAACTTTATTTTTTTTTCCAAAGTTTATTTTTATTTATCTTAGAGAGAGAGAGAGAGAGAGAGAGAGAGAATCCCAAGCAGGCTCCACACTGAGCTGAGTGTGGGGCTCGATATCACCTCCGAGATATTACTACCTGAGCTGATACCAAGAGTCGGATGCTTAACTGACCTAGCCTACCAGGTGCCCCTCCTATGAACTTTACATGTATCTGAAAGCCTTAGGGTAGTTGCACTGCTTCTGGAAGGGTAACACCTACTATACATTTGACCAGACTTACTAGGCAAAAAGACATTCATTCCTTCTTTCAGTCATTTCTTTTTCTTTTCATTTAATATTGATTCAACATCTTGTGCTATGTGTTAGGGCAGCATCTTCTTGTCCTCAGTGCCGGAGATACAGACATTGATAAAATGTATCCAAGAGATACGTTCATTTAATAGGAAAAACAGACATGGGAGGAATGGCACCTTAGGCTGAGGGGTAGTGTTTGCATATAGCACAACTGTGGGACTATGGGTTGCTTTGGGAGATGGGAAGGAAAAGAGGATATCAGTAGGCAGGAGTCAGATTCTAGAGGATTTTACATTTTATTGTACTTTATCCTACAGGGTGGGCATCAAAAGGCAAGGGACAGTTGACAGTTTTAAGCGTGGAAGTTAAATGATCAGATTTGCATTTAGAAAGATGCTAGTGGCCATATGGAGGATGGATAGAGAGTGGAGACGATTTGTGTCGGGGAGACCATTTAGGAATTTATTGTAATAACGAAGGTGACAGAGAGGAGGGCCTAAGTTAAAGCAGTGGCAGTGGGGACAGATAGAAGGGATGGTTAGAAGAGGCAAGAAATCTGGTTAAGTTTTTTAAACATCATTCGAAATGCCAAAGCAGTTATATAACCCAGAAACTCTTCTCATTATTGACTCATATTTGGCAAAGAAAACAGTCCCTTAAAATCTACTCCTGAAATCATTGTTGCACTATGTGCTAACTAATTTGGATGTAAATTTTAAAAAATAAAAAATAAAACAAGTTAAAAAAAAAACAGTCCCTTAAACTGCTTGCCTCTTTCTTCTTTGCCTATTAGCAAACTAGAAGACAGTGGTTTTTTTTTGGAATTCTTCCTACTTACCTTTTTACACTCCCTTGCCCTTCCCTCATCTCATATACATCTCATTGCCTGTATTCGAGTGACTTGGGGGGTGGTTATATGGTGTAGTTCATTTGACCTGGTGGCTTTGTTGGGGAAGCAAGAATCAGCTCGGTCGTCACCTAACATTGTTTTACCTTCCCACTCAGATTGAAAGACGATGACAGTGGGGACCATGATCAGAATGAAGAAAACAGCACACAGAAAGATGGTGAGAAGGAAAAAACAGAACGAGACAAGAGTCAGGGCAGCAGTAAGAGGAAGGTGAGTTTTGTGCTGTATAGATATAGTTGCCTTTGGACTTGAGACTCGGTTATCTTGTGGAATCTATGTGAAAGATACCATATTAACTCAATGGTGCCCTATTTTGGAATATCTGCTTTTGTTCTCAAAAAAAGATTGTTGAATCACTGGCGTTCATGTTGGGAGTTAGAACTTTTCCCTTGCCATAGGATCTTAAGATCGTGCCTTGCTTTCCAGCATTCACCCAGCATGAGGGATTAACTGTGGACTTGAATGAGACTATCTGTTAGTTCTAAGCTGTTGCTGAGTATTTCAAATCCTACACATCCTTGAAATTTTAGACTGTTTAGTCAGTAATAATCTAAGCTGAAAGTGACTTGGAAAGGAAAAAATTTAGAGAATGAGAGATTGATGGGTCAGTTTTTTTTAAATATTAAAACTTGTTTATCTGACAAGATTGAGCATTATAGGTGCTAAAAGAGCACAAAGGTGAATGAGACTGTGGATCAAGGGGCTTACATTAAGTAGTAGCAATATTCATAGTAGCTGACACTGAGCGCTTACTATGTGCCAGGCACTGTGCTAAGCACTTTACACCTATTAACTTATTTGATCCTCTCAGCAACTCTACGATACTATTTTCTTCATTTTGCAGATAAGCAGCTGAGGCACAAACAGGTTAAGCAGCTTGCCCAGGTCACTAGCCAGTAAGTAATAGGGTGTCATAGAGGAGGCATACTTGGCCTGGGAGTACTTGGGTGAGATAAGATATAAACATAAATACCTATAATAGAAAAAAAAGTTTAAAAAGCCATAGGAAAACAGATAAAATGTTAGAGGAACTTAGAATCCACTAACCACTGAAGAAATTTACAGTGTAGGGACACCTGGGTAGCCCAGTTCAGCTCAGCTCATGATCTCACAGTTTGTGGGTTCGAGCCCCACATCAAGCTCTGTGCTGATAGCTTAAAGCCTGGAGCCTCCTTCAGATTCTGTATTTCCCCCTCTGTCTGTCCCTCCCCTGCTCACACTCTGTGTGTCTCTCTCCCCTTCCCTCCCTCCTTCCCTCCCTCCCTCCCTCACTCTCTCCCAATCTCTCTCTCTCTCTCTCAAAAATAAACAAACATATGGGAATGCAAGATGATGCAGCCACTCTGGAAGACAGTATGGAGGTTCCTCAAAAAACTAAAAATAGAACTACCCTACGACCCAGCAATTGCACTACTAGGCATTTATCCACGGGATACAGGTGTGCTGTTTCGAAGGGACACATGCACCCCATGTTTATAGCAGCACTATCAACAATAGCCAAAGTATGGAA